AACCAAGTTCAATGGTGATATTTTTACATCACCAGCATCTTCAGTACAAAAAAGAACAAACAAACAAACAAAAAAAGTGGGGAGTCCAACAAACCACCAAACGAAGAAAAAAAAAAATTCTTTTCCTCAATCAATCATTCTGTGGTGCAAAAAATTGAACATTTAAGTATTGCATGTAACAGACAAGGAAAAACGATGCTTGTAACTTCTTTTTTTTTTTTTTTTTGGCAAATAAGTATCCTACAATAAATGTTAGACAGCATTAGGCACATTTGCAGAAAGAAAAGATTTGAGAGATGAAAATTCTACAGCAAGAATCACTTAAAAATTTCCATTTACAACATTTAGATGAATCAGTGAGAAAAAGTGCATACATGTTGCCATTCAAGTCAAATCCACAAACAACAGATTGCTCATGGGCTCATGACACATGTTCCCTTTATCTTCATGCTGCGACTGCAAACAATCTAACTTTGCAGATGCAGATATCCACTCATAAAGTTTATATACAGAATTATCACAGCTCAGTGGAGACAATGGTGATAATACCAACTTTCATTTAATGCATTACATGAGCTAGATAGCATGAATAACAAACCTTCCGTGAGGGTCCTGAGCTAGTTCTTGCTGCTGCTGGAGGATCCAACTGATAAAAATTGAAAATTTATTTTTAGTACATAAATAATAAAATATATGAAAGGCATAATTATGAACAAAATTAAAATAAGAAATCAGCAAAATCTCTTCTTATTAAGCAACAGGAGGAAAGCCTAGCAACATCAAAGTTTAGTGGACCTCTATTTCCTTTTCTGGACATGCTTTAAGTGGACCTTCATTTCCATGATTTTAGAAAGAATTGTATCGTATGAAGTGTCTCACCTGCATGCCCTTCCTCTACATTATTGAAAAGGCATGCTAAAATTTCAAAGCAAGTATGTTTATTTGCAGATACGTGGAAGAGAATTAAGATTGCATAAATTATCTGTCGTCTACAATTTTTTATAATGTAACCAAAATTTCACACAAGGAAATACTAAGAATCTATAGGAGAAACCCAGAATTTTAAAAATGCCCACAATTTTCATCACAAATATATCATCGATGGATAAAGTTGTTACATGCATTACTGCACTGCACTTTGTAATAATTTACAAATATCAATGTGCAAAGCAGCATGGCACAATAACAAAATCATAAATCTACATTTTTATGAATCAGAACTATTGTTGATTTATTAAAATATGAAGTCATTCTTGTTTGAAACAAAACGAGAAGTGGATCTAGTAAATCTGAATATGATTTGAAGAGAGACGACATAACAATGAAGATGTCGTATATTAGTTAGACAAGAAATATTAAAAATTGGCTAACTCATTCATACTTCATCAAACTTCATAAAGTTCTGAGTGTCTAGTTCTCCATTGACTTCTGGTTTAAATGCTGCCTCCATCTCATAGAGTTTATCCCATTTAACACCATTGAACCAAGGATGAGCCTGAAACAGGGAAATTATAATAGCTATAAGGGAGAAACGTAGAGTTTTCAATGAATGATTTAACATAATTCAAATTTCTTACTTTAATTTGATTTGCTCCCCCAGTACCTAGCCTATGTTCAACGTCACACAAGAGCCTACAAACAAGATCCTTTGCTTCCAGTGACAACCTTGCATCTTCTGGAAATTTAAGGTGATTTCTCCAATGAACAATCTGAAAGCAATTAATGAGCGGAATGTAAGTTAAAGCTGTGAATTCATGCAACACCAAGGGAATAAGGGGTGAAGGGAGGGCAAAATTCAAAGAAAGATGCATGGATTGAAACTGCAAGAAAAGTGGGAAAGCAAAGGAGCAATTTTATAACGATCTATTAAGTGAAAACTGTTTGCTATGGCGCAATCACCATGATGCAACTACAGTATAAATTTTCTCCCAAAAATGCTAAAGAATAGCTAAACAAGAAGTGGCCTAGACATGTGTGTAAAACCAAAAAATGAAGAAAATTCTAGCTTAGTGCATATATGGCTTAAGAGCTATTCATTGTAAGGTGAAATTTGAAGGTGAAATTTGAACCGAATGGAAAGAATTTTTGCATGGAAATTTATGAAGAGAGAAAAAAGAAAGCTGACAAATATCAATTGATGCTGAGAAAGAGAGACTAAATAGAAGCATATAACACGTTACCTTTCTGCAGGTAGTTATTGGGTCATCTGAGTAAAAAGGTGGGTAGCCAACAAGCATTTCATACATTATTGCTCCTAGTGACCACCTGAAAGGAGATGAGATAAAGAACATATGACAGCAGTTTAGGCAACACGATACCAAATGCATGCCTAAGAAAAGCGAAAAAGATTTTCTACGTTCATGGTTAGCATCAAGAAAGATCTATAACATTCCTTATTATACAACATATAGGAAGTGAGAAGACTATGAAGCCAGGAAAAAGGAAAAGAAAACTAAAATTAACAATAAATTACAATTTGTAACAGGAAGAGAATTTTAAACATAAATGAACCAATAAAGTCAACTAACCAGTCACACTCCATGCCATAGCCTTTCTTGAGTAATACTTCAGGAGCAATGTAATCTGGTGTTCCCACAGTTGAAAATGCCTTTAGGAGAGGATACAACAATTTTAGTCATAATAGTTGGAAAAAAGCATCATAACATCTCAACAGTTATCGGGATGTAAAATAGAGCACAACTTATAATAAGGCTTGCTGATGAAAAATATATTGCTTATTTATGTGTCTCTCTAAGTTATAGAGTATCTAAAAGTAGTGGTATCACTTTTTCGAGAGCCTGGAAGCAGAGTGACTTTAATTACCATTGAGTGAGAACTGCAAAACATTGGTATCTGTTGGAAGATTAGGAGGAAAAAACCCAGATTTATTGGGATTGATATCAGATTGATCTTAGGAAGATTCCTAAGATCAGGGACATCAGATTTATTTTAGGAATTCCCTAAAATAAATCTGCTGTAATGTAGGATATAATTAAGGAATATTGCTATGTGAAGGGGTTTAATTTAAGAATACTCTTGTATATATATCCTAGTGATTTATGATGAAAGAAGAGCGAATTTTCCTTCAAATCACTTCTCATTTCATGGTATCAGAGCTCGATTCTCTGGTGACTAAAACAACAACCTAATTCACACTTCAATCTGTGAATAATGGCAGAAATTCCACCAACCTCATTAATGGATGATTGATCCATCAGTTCGTCTACCACAAATAAACAACTACCCCCATCTTCCTATTCCACCATCGATAGTCATAGTCTGCAAATCACCCAACATAAACTGAATGGAACCAATTTCCGTGAGTGGTTCCAATCTGTTTTGCTGGTAATTAAAGGCAAAGGGAAGGCTGGTTATTTAACAGGAGCAACCCCTATGCCATCAACTACAGCACTCAACTATGGTATATGGGATGCTGAAAACTCAATTGTTATGGCACGACTCATCAATTCTATGGTGCCTAAAATTAGTAGAACATATCTCTACTACAAAACTGTCAAGGATATTTGGGAAGCAGTGCAAGAGAACTATTCAGACCTACAGAACACATCTCAGTGCTTTGAGATTCAATCTACAATTTGCACAATGCGTCAAGAAACTATGACTATCACTGAATACTATAATACTCTGACAGAGTTATGGCAGGAGATGGATTTATTTTATGAAATTAGTTAGGACTCTCCAACTGATGTTGTGAAATTTGAAAAAACATTGGAGAAGGAACGTGTTTTTGACTTCCTTCAAGGTCTTAAGACAGAGCTTGATGAAGTACGAGGAAGAATACTTAGTACAAAGCCTCTTCCAACTATTCGAGAAGCATTTGCTGAAGTTCGGAGAGAGGAGAGTCGAAGGAAGGTAATGCTTAACTCTCCATTGAATTCCAACACAGACATGATCCCACAAAATTCAGCCCTCACTACAACCAAAAGAGATGGTGCTTCTCTTCCTTCTCGGGATCAGCAATCAAAGGATAAGCAATGATGTGATCACTATAATAAGTCATACCATACCAAGGAAACATGTTGGAAGATACATGGAAAACCAGCAAACTGGAAGCCTCGAAATCAGAGGGAATCAAACAGATCAGCTTATGCAGTAGAATCTGCTCCTGAAAGTGGGAAGACTGGCAATCTGAATCTGTCAGCAGATCAGATTGAAGTCCTTCACCAACTCCTAAATCAAACCAAGTTGTCCACGAGGTCAGATCCAACAACCTCTTTGAACCCAATAGCCTCAATGGCCCAAAAAGGTAATACAAGGCATTCCTTATTAACTCAGAAACTCACTAATAGTTGTTGGATAGTGGATACAGATGCATCCGATCAGATGACTAGTTCCTTGAATGCTTTCTCAACTTATGAGACATGTGATCATAATATAAATGTCTCAATGACCGATGGTACAGTCTCTTCCGCCATAGGTCAGGGAACAGTTTGGTTATCAAATTTACATTTGAAATCTGTCCTACATGTGCCTAAAGTTAAATGCAATTTGTTATCTGTTAATAAGTTGACTAAAGATATGAATTGCACCGTGACTTTTTTCCATTCTCATTGTGAATTTCAAGACCTATCTTCAGGGAAGATGATTGGCAGTGCTGAGGAGAAGAATGGTCCTTACTAGATATCGGGAATAGGTTCTCCTTCTAGAAACAGGTCACTTAATAAAGCCTCTATTTCTGCTGTTTCGCACTCTGATGTAATGTTATGGCATAATCGCTTTGCACATCCCAGTTTTTCCTACCTAAAAAGCTTGTATCCTCATTTTTTTATTAATAAGATTGACATTTCGTTTCATTGTGAAAGTTGTATTCTTGCTAAACAATCTCGAAATAACTATCCCCTACATTCTTATAAGCCTTCCAAACCATTTCATTTGATCCATAGTGACATTTGGGGACCAACCTGAACACCCAACGTGTCAGGCACCCGACGGTTCATCACTTTCATAGATGACTGATAAGCCTCTGATCCGCTTCCAATATGCCAGGAAGAAGAAGAGAGGCCCAAATGCAGCTAGGGGAGTCTGACGTGCTTGAAGGCCCAGAGAATGCTACTGCTCCAAATTATGCTATTGTCAATTATTTCCATTCTGTTATTGTGTTGTCCTTGAGTAGGCTGCGTCAATGGTTTTTCCATCTAAAAGGCTGATGTGGCAAGTTTGTTTAGGATTCCCTGACAGCTTTGCTGGGTATAATAGGGCAATGAGTGAGGTGAGAGAGACATGTTTTCTATTTTGGTCCAGTGGGAATATTGGAGAGCAGGCCCTCTCAAATGTGCCTTATTCTATCACTGTAAACACTTTCCTTCATTGATAATACAGCAAGTTTCATTCATCTATTGCCTATCTCTGTCTCTGCTACTTGAGTCGTAACATTTTGATATCAGAGCGAGGTATTTGAATCCTTAGGAATGCTAGCAACCAGAATGGAGTCAAGAGTGGAAAACTTGGAAGAAAAACTCCAATCCTTTGAAAATCGATTGGCAAGCCTTGAATCCTCCATCCAAAAAATGGATGAGGTCTTGAGTGCTATCCATAGGAGCACTGCCTCTGCATGGAAGAGCATAGCTGAGTCCAGTGGAGCAAAACGGACTACGCCCATGGGTCCAGAGATGGAGGAGACGCCATTGACAGAAGGGATGGCCACCCATGTACCCACCTATCACCCTAGGTATGAAAAGAAGCTGGAGATGCCTACCTATGATGGGGAGGATGATCCAACACCATGGGTATTTCAGGTTGAGAGGTATTTTGGGGTGAACAAGTTGACTGACTCGGAGATATTGGAAGCTGCGAGGGTCTACCTCAGGGGATCAGCGTTGGCATGGTTGTAGTGGGAGGAAAACCGACATCCCTACTCGACTTAAGAAGAGTTAAAAAACCAACTCCTGCGACGGTTTTTTCCTAAACGAAAAGGAACCCAGCAATAACGCCTCTTATCACTACAGCAAACCTCAACAATAGTTCAATACAGGAGGGATTTTGAGACTTTATCCATCCCATTGAAACACTTGGATGATGATACTCTTGTGACAGTGTTCATCAATGGCTTAGAGGAGAGAACCAGGAGAGAACTCTTGAAGTTGAGCTGCAATAGTCTGCTGGAAGTCATGGAATCAACTGAAAGAATTGAGGGCAATTTAGTGCTGAGGCCGGCCCAAGAACATGAGCCCAATAGGACCATGAAGAGAACCCAAGCCCCATGGAACCCCACAAACACCTTCAGCCCACATAAGTTCACCACCTGGACCCTATCCAGCCTATCCCATCTCACCCAATCCACCCAAAACAATACCCACTTCACTCCAAACACTAATAAGCCAGAACAAAGACCCCCTTATCACCCTTAAAAAAGAATGACTATTGCTGAAATTCAGTCTAGGCGAGAGAGAGGGTTATGCTTCAAGCGTGATGAAAAATTCAACGTTGGGCACCATTGCAAAAACCGAGAGCTTCAGGTCTTGGCCGTTCTTGATGATGAAGAAGAACCCGAACAAATCAGAGAGGAGGGTGAGAAAGAAGAAGTATTGCTCCAAATGGGTGAGGTGCAGCTATCACTCAACTCAGTAGTGGGACTGACCTCCCCTCACACCATAAGCTTAAGGGCGAGCTAAGGGGAATGGATGTAGTTGTCCTCATTGATTGTGGGGCAACCCACAACTTTATTAGTGAAGACTTGGTGCGGCAAATGAGCATCCCCATTACTGAGACAGCTAGGTATGGTGTAGCTTTGGGTACTGGGGCACCAGTGCCAGGAAGAGGAATTTGCAAGGGAGTAATGCTGAAATTGCAAAAACTGACCGTCATTGAGGATTTTTTGCCCTTTAACCTTGAAAGTTCAGACATCATCTTGGGACTCAAATGGTTGTTTGTAGTTCGCCATACTGAGTTTGATTGGCACACACTGACTCTAAGAGTTCCAATGGAAGGAAGACAGGTGGTGCTTCAGGGTGACCCTGTGCTGAGTAAATCAGCCGTGTCTTTGAAGACTATGATCAAGACGATTCAACAGGAAGGGCAAGGGGTGTTGGTGGAGCTGGGTTGTATGGCACTTCAGGAAGGTGAGGCAGAGGGGCTGATTTTGGAAGAAATTAGAGGGGTGGTAGATGAGTTTCAAGAGGTGTTTGAATGGCCAAACGAACTACCACCTTGGAGGAAAAAAAACCATGAGATAAACTTGAAACCAGGAACCATTCCAGTTAATGTCAGACCTTATCGATACCCACATGTCCAAAAGGATGAAATTAGGAAATTGGTGGGAGAAATGCTAGCTGTTGGAATAATCCAACCAAGTGTGAGTCCCTTCTCAAGCCCAATCTTATTGGTGAAGAAAAAGGACGGTAGTTGGAGATTTTGCAGACTACCGAGCACTAAACAAAACCACAGTGCCTGATCGATTCCCCATTTCTACCATCGATGAGCTCTTTGATAAATTGCAAGGGGTTTGTCTTTTTTCTAAATTGGACCTCAAATCCGGGTATCACCAGATTCGCATGAAGGAGTAGGATGTTCCAAAGATGGCTTTTTGAACTCATGAAGGGCATTACGAGTTCTTAGTGATGTCTTTTGGATTGACGAATGCACCGACCACATTCCAATCAGTTATGAACTCCATCTTTAAGCCGATATTGAGAAATGGAGTATTGGTGTTTTTTGATGATATATTGGTCTACAGTTCTTCATGGGAGCAGAACAAACAACATTTGAGAGGGGTACCATCAGTTCTCAAGGCTAATAGGCTATTTGCCAACTTGAAGAAATGTAGCTTCGAATAAGACAAGATTGAATACCTTGGGCACATTATCACGGCAGAAGAGGTAGCAGTTGACCATTAGAAAATTGATGTCATAGCACAATGGCTAGTTCCGAAAAACTTAAAAGAACTACGTGGGTTTTTGGGCCTCACCGGCTATTATTGTCGGTTTGTCAAGGATTATGGAAAGGTAGCTACACCGCTGACTGAGTTACTAAAGAAAGATGCCTTTAAATGGAGTGATGAAGCCACTGCTACAATCCATAGTTTGAAACAAGCAATGATGACCCTTCCTACCTTAGCTCTACCAAATTTTGAGGAGGGTTTTGTAGTCGAAACGGATGCTTCAGGGACTGGTTTGGGGGCAGTATTGATGCAACAAAATCGCCCCGTTGCGTATTACGGTCAAGCCCTCAAAGGGCGAGCTCAATTGAAATCCGTATATGAGCGGGAACTCATGGCCATAGTGCTGACAGTGCAAAAATGGCGACACTACTTATTGGGGAGAAAGTTCTTAGTCCAAACCGATCAAAAAAGCCTCAAGCATCTCCTTGAACAGCGACTAGTGTCCGAGTAGCACCAGAAATGGTTAACCAAGCTATTGGGGTTCGACTTTGACATTGAATACAAACCCGGATTAGAAAATAAAGCAATAGACGCGCTTTCGATTGCCAGCCCTCTTGCATATGACGGTGGCCCAATGCCTTGATATGAAAAAGCTGATGCAGGAGGTGGACAAGGACCCAAAGTTGGTAGCCAACAAGCTAGCTCTGCAGCAGGATCCCGATTGCAAACCAGGCTAGAATTTGATCCAAGGGTAGCTCCGATACAAGAATCGCTTGGTAATTTCTCAAACCTCCCCTTCTATACCGGTATTGCTTGCTGAGTTTCATGGAAGTTTAGTAGGGGGCATGTGGGTTATCTCAAGACTTATAAGAGGATAATGGCTGAACTATACTGGGAAGGCATGAAACATGACATCAAGAAGTATGTGGAGAGTTGTGAGGTTTGTTAGCAAAACAAGAGTTCATTGTTATCTCCTGCTGGCCGATTGCAGCCCCTCCCAATTCCAAAACAGATTTGGGAAGATGTGTCTATGGATTTTGTTGAGGAGTTGCCCAAATCCTCAGGGTATAATGCGGTGTTGGTAGTGGTGGACCGTTTTAGCAAATATGGCCACTTCGTGGCCTTAAAACACCCATTTTCAGCTATTGGAATCGTAGAGATTTTTGTGCAAAACATTATCAAGCTTCATGGGTTTTCTCGCTCTATTGTTTCAGACCGTGACAAAGTCTTTATGAGCTCCTTCTGGACTGAGTTGTTCAATCTCCAGCAGACGAGGCTGAAGCATAGCACTGCATATCATCCCCAAACGGATCGACAAACCGAAGTCGTCAACCGATGCCTTGACAATTATTTGCGCTGCTTTGTGCAATCCCAACCAAAAACTTGGAGTCGCTGGCTGCCTTGGAGTGAGTATTGGTACAATACATCATTCCACACCTCCACCAAGCTCACTCCTTTTAAGGTTGTATATGGATGGGATCCACCACCTCTGCTGCAATTCTTAAGCCAGAGCACCTACAATTCTGTCGTGGAGGAGCAATTACGGGCTAGGGACTTAATGCTCAGAAATGAAAGAGCAGCTGCAATTAGCCCAAATACGCATAAAGAAACAAGCAGATCAACACCGACGTAATGTGAATTTCCAGGTGGGGGACTTGGTTTATTTAAAGCTTCGACCATATCGCCATAAATCATTGGCTTGGAAGCTGAATGGAAAGTTGTCACCCCGTTATTTTGGTCCTTATCTAATTATACAACAAATTGGCCAAGTGGCTTACAAATTAGCTCTACCCGAGTCAGCCCTCATCCACCCCGTGTTCCATGTTTCTCAGCTCAAAGCGGCCATTGGGGTGGACAAAACTAGCCAGGACCTTCCCCCTCCCTGCAAGATGACCTTGAATGAAGGGTGGAACCAGCTTCTGTTGTGAATATACGCGCGGGAAATGAAAGCAAAGCTGATCTAGAAGTGTTAATCAATTGGAAGGGCTTGCCAGATTTTGAGGCCTCATGGGAACCATACCACACCATTGATCAGCAATTTTCCTCTTTCCACCTTGAAGACAAGGTGAAACTTATAGGAGCAGGTATTGATAAGCCTCTAATCCGCTTCCAATATGCCAGGAAGAAGAAGAGAGGCCCAAATGCAGCTAGGGGAGTCTGACGTGCTTAAAGGCCCGGAGAACGCTACTGCCCCAAATTATGCTATTGTCAATTATTTCCATTCTGTTATTGTGTTGTCCTTGAGTAGGCTGCGTCAGTGGTTTTTCCATCTAGAAGGCTGATGTGGCAAGTTTGTTAGGATTCCCTGACAGCTTTGTTGGGTATAATAAGGGAATGAGTGAGGTGAGAGAGGCATGTTTTCTATTTTGGTCTAGTGGGAATATTGGAGAGCAGGCCCTCTCGAATGTGCCTTATTCTATCACTGTAAACACTTTCCTTCATTGATAATATAGCAAGTTTCATTCATCTATTGCCTATCTCTATCTCTGCTACTTGAGTTGTAACAATGACCATACATGTGTTTGTTCGGTTTACCTTATGAAAGAAAAATATGAAGTCAGTAACATATTCAAACAATTTCATAAACTTATCATGAATGTCTTTCAATCTTCTATCCATGTCCTCGTACCGACAACAGTCGAGAATATTTTTCAAATGAATTCACCCAATATCTTGTTGAACATGGCATTTTCCATCAGAGCTCTTGTGCTTATACTCCTCAACAAAATGGGGTAGCTGAACGAAAAAACCGACACCTACTTGAGGTTGCTCATTCAATGATGTTTGCAATTTCTGTTCCAAATTCCTATTGGGGGAAGTTGTTCTTACAGCCTCTTACCTAATAAATCGCCTTCCTTCCAAAGTACTAAAATTCCAAACTCCTTTAAAAACTCTCCAAGAAAAATTCCCTCACACCCAAATCTTTAATTCCCTTTCCCTTAAAGTCTTTGGTTGCACTGTATTTATCCACAATAACCATCCCAATCGAAGCAAACTTGACCCTAAAGTCCTCAAGTGTGTGTTCATTGGATACTCTCCTACACAAAAAGGGTACAAGTGTTACTGTCCATTCTCTCGAAAGTTCTTCGTTCCCTGTGATGCATCCTTTCTTGAGGACCTACCCTTCTACCCCAATGACTCTCTCCAAAGGGAGACATCAAGTGAAGAAAGACATTGGGATCCCCCTATCTCTCTTCCTATATCACTTCTAAGCTCTCACTCATACTTACAACCAGAAAGTGAATCTAATGAACTCAAACCTGACCACTTTCAATCCCACATGACCAATCAAGGGGGAGAATCTGTTTCTGAAAAATCGATTCAAGTTTATTCCAAAAGGCCAAAAGCTACTCAACAAGGCCAAGAATCGGATCCGAAGCCAAGTCCATTGGGTGAAACCACAATCGAAGATTCTACTATGGTGGATGGATTGGATGTTCCTTAGCTCTTCAGAAGGGGGTAAGATCATGTGTTAAGTATCCTATTTCTAATTACTTAACATATTCAAAATTGTCCCCTCAATTCAGGGCATTCACTACAAGAATTGATAATGTGGAGGTTCCTAAAGACATTCAAAATGCCTTACAAGACTCAAGATGGAAGGCAGCAGTATTAGAGGAGATGAATGCACTGATCAAGAATGTCACTTGGGATGTTGTGAAGCTGCCAGAAAAGAGAAATTGGTTGGGTGCAAATGGGTTTTCACTGTTAAGTACAAATTAGATAGGAATATTGAAAGGTACAAGGCTAGATTGGTGGCCTATGGTTTAACACAAATCTATGGCCTAGACTACAAAGAGACATTCGCCTCTGTTGCTAAGATGAACTCCATTAGAGTTCTATTGCTGCCAACCTGGATTGGGAGCTCTACCAATTAGATGTGAAGAATGCATTTCTGAATGGGGAGTTGGACGAGGAGATATACATGAAAATACCTCCTGGTTTTGAGACAAGAAAAGAAAGGAAAAGTGTGTAAACTGAAGAAATCCCTTTATGGCCCAAAACAATCCCCAAGGGCGTGGTTCAAGAGGTTCAGCACTACACTCATTCGACTTGGTTACAGTCAAGGACAAGCAGACCACACGTTATTCACAAAACATGCAGAGAATGGAAAAAGTCAATCTTGATTGTCTATGTAGATGACATCATAATAACGGGAGATGATAGTCAAGAAATAGAGGATCTCAAGAAGAAATTAAGAGCAAATTTTGAAATAAAGATCTAGCAAGATTGAGATATTTGCTAGGAATGGAAGTAGCTATGAGTAAAGTGGGTATTTTCATTTCTCAAAGAAAATACTCTTGATCTCCTAAAAGAAACAGGCAAGCTTGGAGCTAGAACAACTGGGACACCGTTGGAGAAGAATTGGAAGTGGAAAGAAACTAAAAATGATCCACTCGTGGACAAAGGGAGATATCAACGATTAGTAAGGAGACATATTTATTTATCTCTTACTCGACTAAACATTACTTATGCTGTGAGCGTCTTAAGCCAATTTATGCATTCACCCACTCAAAGATACTTAGATTCTGCAACCCATATCCTGAGGTATCTAAAGGGAACACCAGGGAAAGGCCTACTATTCGAAAGAACGAAGACAAGGGAATTGAGGGTTTTGCAGACGCAGATTGGGTAGGCTTTGTTGAAGATAGCAGATCCACCTCTAGGTATTTTACTAAGTTATAGGGTAATCTAGTTACTTGGAGAAGCAAAAAGCAAAGTGTGGTAGCTCGCAGCAGTGCGGAAGCAGAGTATAGAGCCATTGCTCAAGGAATTTGTGAGGTGATTTGGTTGGACAGATTGATGAAGGATCTGAAAATCCCTTTATCCACCCCAACAAGATTATATAGTGACAGCAAATCTGCCATCAACATTGTTAATAATCCAGTATAGCATGACCGAATGAAACATGTACGGATGATCGAAGTTTTATCAAAAGAGAGATTGAAGATGGAGCTATCAACTTGTCCTACATTCCTACAAGATCTCAAGAAGCTGATGTTCTTACTAAAGCTATGCCTAGACCAGGATTTGAGTCAATTATCAGCAAGCTGAGAATGATAAGTATCTATTCACCAGCTTAAGGGGGAGTGTTGGAAGATTAGAAGGAAAAAAACCCAGATTTATTGGGATTGATATCAGATTGATCTTGGGAAATCATTCCTAAGATCAGGGACATCAAATTTATTTTAGGAATTCCCTAAAATAAATCTGCATAGGATATAATTAAGGAATATTGCTATGTGTAGGGATTTAATTTAGGAATACTCTTGTATATATATCCTAGTGATTTATGATGAAAGTAGAGTGAATTTTCCTCCAAATCACTTCTCATTTCAGTATCAATAACTGAATTTATTGTGGGGGGAATCGAACACTGAATTATATGGATGAAGAACACTTCAAAGGGTGCAATGCATTCAGAAAGTTTTCAAGTCAATAACTTCAAAGTGCTTGAGAATGGTAAACGAAGAGTAATTAGAGATCAAAGCAGAAAAATAAGCACTGCACCAAAATTCAAACATCTGACAAATCTGGATAAAATTCCTCTATAATTTCTCAAAGGTTTTAAATGTCTCTTCACAGAAAAAAAGAATGAATTGTTGCACCATCTACATATGATACTCCCAAACTTTGCTCATGCTTTCACAAAATTTTTAAGCCATACCCATATTTATGCATGTTGAAATGATCTTTGCAGCATTTTGTGAAATATATTAGTAGAAGTATATTCCTTACCAACTTCCTTCTGTTCATCTGCCAATGCTGAAGCTGTTCATGGGGGCTTCTCCAACTACTTTTATTGTCCGCATCGGCAATACCTCCATCAATATCCATTGGTTCAGTCATATTTTCATCATCAATTGTTTTATTTTCATGGATCACAGATAAAGTTGCACAATCAAGAGGCTTACACAAGCCAAAATCTGATAGTTTCATGTGACCATATTTGTCCAGAAGAAGGTTATCAGGTTTAATATCTCTGAAAGAAAAGTAAAAGTAATTTAATGAGAAAGAGCAAAATACTTAAAAGAAAAGCTGGTAGTGATAAAAACCTCCAGATAAACCCATTTCAGAAATATTAATTTTAACGATGCAGCTGGAATAATATTTAACCTGTGAATGTAATTATGTTTGTGAATCGACTCGATAGCAAGAATACTTTGAGCAATGTAAAACTTAGCCACACTTTCAGTTAAGGTATCCTCCCTCATCAGCAGAGTCATCATATCACCACCAGGCAGATATTCCATAATCAGATATAGATACTCAGCATCCTGAAATGAGTAATAGAGTTTGACAATGCAGTGGCTTGCAACTTCTGCCAGCAAGTTCCTTTCAGCTCTAACATGTTCCACCTGTGGTGCAGAAACATATCTTTTCAGAATAATAAAGAAACAATGTACACAGTACAAACAAAATAGCATCACAGAATTTTACTGGGAGAGATAAAAAAGAAAAAAGAAAGGCAAGGGCAAAATAATAGTGGCAACCTTGTAGTGCACTTCAGAAATCAGGAGAAACCAATAGCTTAATATATGCACAAGCAATCAAGGCAGGCGGTAATTACCATATAGTAAATAATGTCATAGTAATGGCTATAACCAGCCATTGTAACACATGCACAAATTTTATTTTGCATGACTGCATTCTGGCAATGAAATACCAGGGGCTTCCATATATATATATATATACACACACACACACACACACACAAAAACAGCAATAAGCGACCAAACTACTAGAGGGCTGTTCTTATCTGTCAGGTCCATGACTCCCTAAACTTGACCATTCATCATGAAACACATCGACTTCTATGTGGTCAAGGGTTCTAATACCCATTCCATCTCCCCAGGCTATGCCACCCTTGGAACCAAAGTAAGCCATCTCAAACACATACACACAGGCAGGAGAGATAAAATGGACTGTGCAACCCTTGCTACAATAAAAAGTGATGACTATGCAGTATCTTGTGCAAATAATTGGCAACAGCTACCAATGAAACAAGTCATTCCTCAGAATAGTCTTGTGGACTGTATCAGTGATAATAGTTCTCATTTCACCTGTCCTCTCTTTAGCATTTCAGATTTCTTCAACTTTTTCATGGCATAAATGTTGCCAGATTTCTTCTCGCGACACAATCGAACCTGTAGTTTGAGAAAGCATGAGAAACAAATATATTTCAAACTGCAAAAAAAGACAAAATACAATACAAACATGGGAATTTAATGAATGATGAATTGTTTCAGTGCACAGCCCATGTATCATATCATGCACATTTCTAACCTCACCAAAGGCTCCCCTTCCAATGATGGTCAGAAGCTCAAAATCTTCAACACATATCTTGTGCCTTTTAAGTCGCATGAACTCTGTCTCTTTTCTTTCTAAGTCTTTAATCAGGTTGATCTGCTCCTCCTTGGGAACATCAGAAGAAGCTAACCTTCTTTCCAACACCCATCGTCTGCAATGAAAGCAAATCATGACTGTAAAGTCAGGAACAAAATCTTTGAACAAAGCATGTCAGTGACTGAGAAGCAGCATCATCAAATCAAGTTTTGAGCCAGTTCAGGATAAACTTATAGGAACAAGTCAATTTACAGAATTAAGGTTTTGAAGAGTAGATAACTAATCTGTCATAAGTTAAATCCTATATCATCTAGAAGTCATCTTCCAGAAACAACTATTCATGACTTGGTGGTGTAAACTCATCTTTACAGTATATCCATTAACAGAACAAAGCTTCAGGTAGCAGGAAAAAGTAACAAGAAGAAGAAACAAAAGATTCAGTGCTATTCATCCACAATTAACAATGATGCTTTATTATAATATAGTTAAGACCTTCCTGGATATGCAATGGGGAATCTATAGAAGCCTATTCACCATAGTCATACAAATCTCACGTCCATCAGATAGGACACGGCAGTCTCAAGAGGAAGAATTTGGGAAGAAAAAAAAATCTTAATCTTCAACAAAATTGCTGCTACTGGAATTTGAACCTGCACACTTATAAATGCAAGCGGGAGACTTTAGCTCTTACACCAAGCAATAGATCCTAGATGCAAGTACCAAGTAAAATTACAAGATGAGTGCCTTGTATTTAGGCCATATAGTTCAATGCCCAGAGTAATTGACTTGACTGGAGAAAATATTCGCTGTTAATTGCAGAATACATCTGCCAAAGTTTTCGAACTGATATAACAAAATCCAGATTATAGAAATCCTATGGTTTTAAATAAATCAAATAATTAGACATCCTACTCAAGAAAAAAAAATTGAAGCCACTTCCCTTCATTGTCATGGTCAAGTGCACACTAAATAGATAGAAATAATCCGTATGATGAGAAATTACCCAGAAAGGAAAAAAAAATTGCAGCTACCTCAATCACAAAACAAAAAATACACAATTTTTAATTGGGTCGGGTATGAAGAAACTCTTCTGGAATTTCTTGGAAGAACCTATTTAAACCAATTCAGCTAAGGAGTTTCATGTGAAAATTTGCAGAAGGAGGCCTTGTTTATTGTACTGGAAGTCTTTTTTTGCAGATAATTCTTTTTTTTTTTTTTTCAAAAGAAAGAAATGCAGCTCTTGTCAGGGCAGGGTCTTCATCAACTGTACCCGATAACTACATTATTCAGTACCCACTCAGATGTTGGAATTGATTCTTGTCGACAACTAGCATGGACTTTCAAATTGCGGACTCTGAAGAAAAAGTTCTATGATCTAAGAATCGCAATTCATCCAGGGATTAATACATTGATAATCTGCACTAGACTACCTTAAACCATCCGGTTGATAAATGGTACATTTCAATCTAGTCGGGTTGAATAACAGCAATGCATCTGTATTGTAGTCCCGCTAGATCAACTTCAATAAACACCCTATCTAATAACAAAAGAAAGGAAAAAAGAAAAACGAAAAAGATCATCTTCTCTCAATCATTTCCTACACTTTCTTAATTCCGAAACAAAACAAACTGATATCAAGAAGACACACAAATCAAACTTAACAATAACCAATCCAATAATGTAGATTCACTATTTAATTTCACTAAACTTATAAAATTAAAAAAAAAAACCTACGCCTCTGATTTAATAATTATAATTAGTAGATAGCAATCACTAAATCAACTTAACTAGTACATTCAATGATGCACAATGTAAGATTCAAGACCTTTCTTCATAAAAACCAAGCAAGGCTCTCAACTAAATTATGAAGCTTATTCAGAATTTTAATTAACTAATCAATGAATTAGTAGCAGTAATAGAGAGAGAGACCTTTCTTTTCGCTCTTGAATATTCTTCATTTGAGCTCTATAATGATTCTCTATATACTGCTTTGCTGCCGCTACTTTCTCCATCGTCAAGCTCGATCCCATCACCTCCTCTTCTTCCTCTATATCCTCCATTTCTACTTTCTCTCTCTAAAATCCCTCTTTCTCTCACTCTAAAATCTATCTCAGTATCTAACTATGCATGTAGCAGAACCACCCTTTAAAATAACTCGCCCACTTTCTCTCTCTAAACAATAACTCGCCCACTTTCTCTCTCTAAAACTCACTCAGTCACAGATTTTCACTCACTCTTTCCTTCATTCCTCTAAGACAGCCTAAGGAAAAAAAAAACCCAAACGTTAGTGCCATGTGATTCCCTGAACTAATCATCATACAAACACTAACTCTACAACGAATTAAAAGCTGACAGGTGGATCGTCAGGTTTCATATGAATGACGTGTAAGCAGTCTCGTAGTTAGTGAAAGGGAGAGGATAAAAGCTCGGTGTCTTTAATCAAGTGAGTTTAACTGTTATTGTCAAAAAAGGTGAGTGTTGGTACTCACGGGCTATAAATCTTGCGTGAGATACAATAAAATGGGGTCAGTGTCAGATAATAAATGACATTTCCATACCATTCTAAGTACAGCAAGAACACAAGGAGGGCCAACGTTGTTTGGCTGTGATTGGGGCGTGATTTGCAATCTCTGAGCTGGTGATGTGGATACGTTAATTCCTTGGTCAGTGATTGGGTGTCCTCTGCTAAAAGGGTGATGAGTTGGTCTCTTCTGTTTAACGCTCATACATTAAATGGCTCTATTATTTTTTGAGAACTTTACATTCATTTATTTACTACTAATTTATTGCTATGTACTAACTAGTTGTAAAATTGTTGCCGAAAAGAGTTTGTTTAGATACATCTTTTTAAAACATTCTAATTGCTAACCGCAAAATGATAATTCCTTATTAATTAAATTTCAATTAGGTTCAGAATTTGATTTTTATATTCTATATTTTTAAGAATTTATTTTTCAAATATTTGAAATCGTACGTTGAAAAGTATTTATTAGCCAAAACCAAAGAGAAATTAATTTCAAAATATATGAAAACTAAAACGAAAGCACTATTATTGTTGAACCTAAAAAAAGGTAAAAATAAATAAATAAACATTCTAGTTGCACTTATTTAGAGATGGCAATAGGCAAGTACCGACTCATTAATTTAATTTTTTACCTCACTCGTCAAAAGAATATCCTATCCATTATTCATTAAGAAATCATCATATAAATCTGGAACAAAAACCCTATTACTCACCAAAGAAAAATTAGTTTCGAAATGTACAAAAAATGGAACGAAAATAATATTGCTGCTGAACCTAAAAAAATAAAAAATAAAAATAAACATGCTAGTTACACTTATTTAGAGATGATAATGGGCAAATACCCGACTCATTAATTTAATTTTTTATCTCACTCATCAAAAAAATACCCTACCCATTACTCATTAAGAAATCATCATATAAATATTTACCTAATCCATACCCGGCTCATACTAGTTTACCCACAACCTATTTAATACCCATTAAATACCCGTTAAATTTAATTTTCAAAACATTTATTTTAGTCCCTATAATTTTTAAGAAAGGTTTTTATCCTTAAAGTTATTATTATTATTATTATTATTATTATTGTATTTTGATCATTTATTTATAAGTTTTTTTGGTCATCAAAGTTTTTAAAAAAGATATTTTGATCCCTAAATTTTATGCAATTAGATCCTTGCATGTTAATAAAAAAATTAAATAAATTAATGAGTATTAATATGGTAAAGAGTTGGTATCTATATCCCGAAACTATATTAGTAAGTACGTATTTTTTTACCCTTACCCATTTCAATCCCCGTTGGGTATTTTTAATGAGTATTTATTGGATCGGATACCTAACCCATAGCCATCTCTACACTTATTTCATGATTCACCATTAAATTTTGTTGTCCTTGTAAAAAAAGAGTCGAGTGCATGAATTGCGATTATCGAAATCAAATGAGATGTGAAAAAATTTAACTAATACTATAAAGTTCTTTTGAAAATACTCTTAAGAGTGCATTTTTATGAACATCAAAATTCATAATATTGATAATATATTTTTTTTAACATTTCTTATCCTTTTACCAATTTTTAAAATTAATTTAACATATAATAATTTATTAAGGACACCGATCTAGAGGTGGAAGGATTTAAACAAAGTTATATGATTACTTATATGATAACCCAAATCATGATTTGATCATAATTTCTTTGTGCGGTACCAATTAGTAATTGAAGGATTTTTAAAAACAAATGATGTATTGATTGAATAACATAGTCTATCTATTTAATGTTAAACAATAAAAAAAATAGTTGTTATGCTCTAATGCTCTAAAATTTCCAATTTCTTCATAAATCATTGAACAAATATATATATATATAACAATTTCCTATTATGTTTAATGTTAATAGATATTAATGGAGTTGGTTTTCATATATTTATGTATTTCAAGTTTTTAAATTGGTTGTCACAACAATTCAATATAATTTTTATTATTGTTGTTGTCATTTTAACAATAACGGCTATGGTTGTAAAATATAGAACCGAGTTGTTAGATTTTGTCTATTTTTTTAGGTCTCGTCTTAAAGAGGACAAACCACCAAACAAAAATAGGTGGAAATTTGGTCTAGGCATCAACTTTATGAAAAGGACAAAATGCACTAGAAATACTATACTAGTTGCGAATTGTGATTTAAGGTTTGGCAAGATCATTAAAATGATATGGTCTAAACAAATGTTTTGAGTTATGACTAAGGTTTGTCGAGTTAAATCAAGCTTGTGTTTTGCCTCCTTTTGTAAAAAGGTATACCTTTGATTAAAAAACTCAAGGACCAAATTCCTTTGCTACTCGTTGATAAGTTCGGGTAAAACATATGACAATGGAGGACATATGTTCGTTCACTAGGACTAAGGCTCCCTTTTCTAATGGCCGGCTATAATGTAGACATGGAAATAGTATCCTCTATCGTAATCGAAAGCTTCCGACCAAAGACTTTCTAAACATGTCACCATATTGTTCTATATCATGGCTATTTATTATATCCAAAATTTAGCTTTGGCTTGCAAAACCCAACAAAATAAAGAAATCTATGAAGTAATAAGATTGTTAAACCTAACAGATTAGAGAAACTTGTGAAACAATTGAAAAGTTAACATATTTTAATGAGAATTCATGGAACACAGATTCTTGAAATGTATAGATACACAAGTACAAAAGATATCAATCCTAATAAATAGGAAGTAGATTGATAATTGGTAACAAAGAAATAGCAAAAAATATATATAGTTTTAATGGGACACAACCACAATAGTTGTAAAGAAACGTAAAGCACTATAAAAGCAACATAGGAAGGTATAGAAAAATATATTAGGAAAGTGCAAAGGATCATGGAACATTGGAAAAATCATAAAGAAATATGAAGCATATAAATACATGTCACAATGAAAGAAATGAATATAAAAAAAAAAAAATCAAACTCAAGAATACTTGTAAATTGCAAATAGCTCTCGGAGCATTCTTTTAATTTCAACACATTTAAAACTTATTAAGCTATAGCTTTTAGACGAGTAATCAAAATAAGTAGTTATCAAAGTAGACTCATAGTTTGTAAACTAATAGTTTAGCTTCTTAATTCTATCTTGCATCCACAACTCTTGTCCATGATCTTTAAGAATTAAATTCCTATGAAAATATCATGTCTAGATGAAGAGTCTCAATTTGTAAGCATTATCCATCATCAATGAATATAAATTTCTTTTAAACCTCGCACGTTGTTACGATCCGGCTTTTCTAGTTCACATGTTGTTTAATTTTAAAATTTATAGTGTAAAAGTGTGTATTTTGTATTGCAAATAGACTTAGAAAGTTTAAATTATTATTTTAGAATAACTAATATTTTGAGAAATCAACCTTATCACTTACAATCCAACTTATTTGAACAAATTACAAACTTCATTCGAGATCTACAAATTGATTTTAACTTATTTAATTTTGTTTTAAATTAAAAAAACACTAAACAATTGTTAGGATAAGTAGTAGAGTATGTAGAACAACAAATTACTTTTTTAAGATCCAAGTATGAAAATTGGATTGGCTTGTACACCACTATACAATCACTTTTTTCACTCTATTATTATAAAGTCATAACCAATAAAGGCACAAAAGCATCAATAAATTAAATTAGCAATCATAGTTGGAATGATGATCTAAATAGAACTAAAAAAATCAATAAGAGTTCCATTAACATGGAACAGTGATGACATAAACTCGTTCTCCAACCTTAGTAAAAGTTGTGTAGAAAAAGGAGTTAGAATCTATAAGAAAAAAATAATTAATATCTCTATTTTCTTGTTTGTGGAAGAAAGATAAACCCAATTTGAGGTTAGGTTTAGATAGACTTACAAATTAATAGAAATTAAATATCCGATATTTACTTTAATAAAGCGAGGATAAACAAATAGAAATCACAGAGAACCATATAAGAAATTAATAATGGCCAATAGTTAGACTACTCATATTTTGATAGAGTTTAACATCAAAGAGAGAGAAAACACAATCACTAGAATAAGACATAAGTTAGACACCAAGCAAGCATGAGAGAGACACGTTCACGTAAGCTTAAATTAAATATTAATGGATGTAAACACCTATATGAAATCTAGGATTAAGAAAGAAATAGACATTGTGATGGTAGATTGTAATTATATAATTTCTAAAACAATGCATAAAATATCTAAACAAGCAAGTATAGAGGTTGAAAACTAGATGAACAAAAATTTTTCTTAAAAGGTCGGTCAAATATGGCATTCTAAAGCAATTCCACTTTTTTTTTAAAAAAAAAACATATAATGGCTCATATAAAGATAGCATGTGGCTTTAGTGAGAAAGACAACTTGTTTTTGAGCTTATACCTTATGCAAAAAAACCTCTAATCATAAGAAAAACGAGTCGAATACCAAGAAATCCTTTGTAGATCTCTATATTAACTTTACAAAGACTAGAAATCAGAATTATAGGTTTGCAAATGAAAGACTCAAATAGGCAAACCAAA